ATACAACAGCCTCAAATTTCTGTGAAACATTCATAAAGATATTTAAAAGAACGCCCATAAAACTTTTCTTAACTTTCTTTTTTTTTTTTTTAAGATACTTTTCTAAATCAACACTTCCGGGTAATCTCTTCTAATACTGAAAAGAAAACCTCGTTTGCTGACCAAGAGGTGTTACTTTCTGTTAACCAAGCCAAAGGACTTACTTGTCTACAGGCAGCTAGCAATACTGCCTCATACAAACTGCATCCGTGATGGAAGCTAACAAGAATGTAAGCTACACTCTAGTTGTTTATTAGAAGTTTAAAAGGGCAAAAGAACTTGGACAGAACTTACCTGAAAGCAATTCAGAAGCACACTATGGCTTAATATTCTAGAGCATGTTAATACAAGTTTTTGTTAACTACACAATAGGAACAGAAAAGTAATTTTAAGAATTAAATCTATTAAGAACAGGGTATTTGTATTCCCTCATTAAAAGCTTCAACAGTGCAAAAGCTTCTCCATCAGAAATCTGCACAAACACAAAAAGCACTCTCAGAACTAAAGTATTAATGCTTAGAAGTCACAAACAATCACAAGAAAAATATCACAGTTACCCAAGCTGAGGTTTAAACAGCATAACACCTAAACAGCACCAGTCAAACCTTCTCCAGCATTTTTCTCTATTATCCTATATTACACTTGCAAAAAAATTAAGTTTGTATGCTGAAACCGCTCCTCAACATGTAGAAAATGTACTTACTCCAAAACAAACTTACACAACAGCATTAAAATCCCCATGGTTTTCACATACCTTACAGCAAAAGGAGCAGACAACTTTTCTCCTCCGTTTTGTTAGCCCTTACTTTTACATGCATACTTCTTCCTACTCGGCTTATCCAGCTTTTCCTACAAAGTTTTCTGTCACCATCTACTACGTATACATAAAAATACAATTAAAAAATGAAATTAAAACCTTGAAGCTTACAAACGATTAATTTTGTATCAGAATAACACTCCACCTAAGAAACAACCATCCCTCTTCCCCTCCTCTTCCAAACACGTGCTCCAGCTCTCCCTACTTAATCTCATATGACCCACACCTGCATTCTGACCCTCCCTACGAGAAGCTTCACACCTGTGATTCACAGATAAGCTTTACTCTCAATCTCACAGCTGAGTGTTCCATTGGCTAATGGAACAATAAAAGCCAGCATTTGTAATTGGCTACTTTCTTCTCTTGCACTGTTAGAAGGGACCGTGAGCCCGGAAGGTAAAGCAAAGCTACTGTTTGTGATGTTTCTGTGATTACTTATAATGCTTTAGTTGAGGGGACGCTTTCTTAATGGAAAGCTCCATTAGGGGTTTTGTTTGAAAACAAAAGTCTTGTATTGGGGAAGTATTTAAAGCTTTTGATGATAATGAAAATGAAACCTTGTACATTTTGACCTAGTTTGTCTTCTAGTATGAAATTAATAGAGCAGTATAAGTATTCCGTGTTGTGTTAAGTTCTGGGTTATTGTGGCAACAACATAATGTTAATAAAGATTAGAAGTGCTGTTTCTGTGCATAAGGAGCAATTTCCTCTTTGTTCCTTGAAGCATAAATGCATGATTACATGTTTGTATTGAAAATAAGGCTACCTGAAAAGCAGTCAGGGTGTTTTCCTGTAAAGCAAGCAAAAATCACTGTTGGAGTAATAAGCTGTATAGTCTATGGCACTTGGAATTAGCTACAGCTTTAAGGAGCATTTTGGTGGGTTTTTTTTTCCCCAGATACTGACACTGTGAGTGCAATGGCTTGTTGAAGTGAGACTTTTTGCTAATACTAAATGACTAATAGTGCTTTTATGATCAATTATTGAAGTTATTTGAGAGATGAGAGCTTCTTAAACAACATCTTGTTTATAACTTAGTATCTGAGTCTTGATGTAGTATGACGCAGCCTTCTCACCAGTGGCTTATTGTGAAATCTGTGTGGTGGGGTTTATTTTCTACCCTGCTATTCCTTGTTGTCTGTTTTGAGTTTTCTTTTTCAGAGACTGAATTCTTCGTGTGGTTTGCCCCTTCCTTTGTCTGAGGTTTTCTAATTGCAAAGCCAAAAACTGAACAAACATGCTTTTGCTCAAGAGGCCCAAAGTGCTCACCCAAATCACTCTCTTGGATGACCCTTGTTCTGCTGCCTGTATCAATAAATTGCTTAAATAATTGAAACCGTGTGAGGTAAGTTTGTATTGGAAGTGTCAGAGAACAGACTACTTAAAGCACCAACACAGTGTAGCTGAGTAGCTGTAGCCTGTGTAACTGCTGTTGTAACAGTTCTGAAAGAGGATACAGCTCTGGATATGTTTTGGGTGATGGGGTTGTGGGAGCTGGGCATATGCAGCACCATTCAGTGTTGAAGATAGTGGGAGGCAGCAACATTTCAAGGAGTGGTTTTCCTGGAGGAGGAAGAGCAAGGTGAAAGGAATAACCTGACACAAAAAGAAACGATCTCCCATGTGCTTCTCGCAGTTGAGGTGTAGGAACAAGCTAATGCAGGCTTTTGGGACAAGCAGATTTAAGAAAACCTCTTTTCCTGGAAAGCTTTACTCATGCAGCTGTGAAAGGGGCTAAAATGGAGACAGCAGCAGGGAGGACCACAATAAAAGCTGGAGAAATAATGTGCTGCAGATAGGACCTATTCCCCCAAACCCAGTCAGCAAAGGTCTTGAGAGGATGCGCTGGTGTGAGTGCCGTGGTTGTCCTTATATGTACTTACACCAGCCCTTCCTAGCTCCTCGCTGGAACTGTTATGCAAACAAGTGAGATGTGCTTGCCTTAATAGGTATGAACACCAGAGGGAGAATCCCCGCTGAACCCCAAAGCACAACTGGCGCTCTTGTAGGAGCTTCCTGAAGGGGCTGAATGCGATGTGAGAGCAGGCTGTGGAATGGCTTATCTGAGATGATGAAGAGGAGATTTTGCATGCATGACCTCTTCTTTCATTCTTCACATCCCCCTCCTCTCTGTGTACATCCCTCAAACATCCCAGCTCTGTGGATCTCGGTGGAGGCTGGGCAGTGAGTGCAGGGTGACAGCACTTCTCTCTGTCTTGGTTCCTGATGCATTGATTCTATTAAAGCAAAGCAGCATGCTGGGTATTTACAGCATAGCTTGGGACATCTTCTGTCAGACTTGTAATGCAGAGAGACAAGCTCAGTGCTGCTTGGCTTCTGGACAGCGGGGGAAGGGATTAAATGCACTTTTCTCCATTGATTTATGCCTTGCACTGAAAATCAATGATGTTTTCTCAGATCCACTCAACTGTTGGAAAACCAACAGCCTGTTTGGTCAAGTGTGTGGGGAAAAGTTCTGAACGAACTGGCTTTTATGGTATGGGTAAATAGGATAGATACAGCTGCTCTGCAGGAACTGCTATATTCACTTGACAGTGATTGCTTTTGTATCATCAGTCTGTATTGGTTGAATATGCTATTTAAAACATTTCATTTTACACAGAGGAGGGGCCAAATGCTGCCTTTGCTTCCATTGGAGGCTGGAAGGGGCAAATGGAACTTAAGTGAAACAGGATGCAGCATAGTTTTTATCATGTCTCTGATGGGATCTACCTGAATCTAGGGTTTGAATTTTATCCAGGCTAGCAGTATTTCCTATCTTCCAGTAAACACTTGAAAAGCTTATACTGTAATGAAGAGCTAAGGTACAGAGTTCCTATAGAGCTTCTAAGCGTAGTGCTATTCACTGTGGACTTAAAGATTGCTGTATTTGCACCCCTAAAGAGGGAGTGCAGCATACTGCCCCTGATCTTACAAAGGTGCTATATAAAAACTATATGTTGATGGTGTTATAATGAGAGAGCTTGAAACTGAAGTCTGAGATCTCAAACCACAGTCTGGTAGCCTTACCTATGGCCTGCTCTTTCTTTTCTAGATCTTAGAAATACTTTCATAAATGTTCCTAAGGGAAAGGATTTTTGTTCTGTCTTCCAAAGCTTTCCTTCATCCCAGGTTGCACAATATGGGTAAATTTCATGTGCAATCCACTGTGGTTTAGGTAGTCAGTGTTATTCTTCTGTTAATATCCGAGCAGGCTAGCTGGAAGTGCTTTGCTTTTCTGAAAAGCACATGTATCCTAGGGTATATGGATATAAAGGTGTAAGCATGACTTGTCTATGTGTGAAGTGCAATAGATCAGAACAGTTGTGTAGATGCACATATATAAAACATCACTGTTTCCATGGTCTTGCTGTGAGTAGCAAGAGTTGTACATGTTTTGATAAGGAATAAATAAGTTCTGTCTGTTTAAAGTCATCTTCTGTGAAGTCTACTTGCTACCACATTCTAATCTCCTTACAGAAACAGGTTTGTCTTCACTGCTGTCTGTGGTGGCAGAAGTGGAATGGAGTATCTTAGCTTCTAAAACTTGCTAACTGCACTAGGGTGAAGCTCAAGATAAGCTGTAAAGGTGTCTCGTGCTGCTTTATAGTGGCTTTTGGAAGTGAGTTAAAAGTTGCATCCCATAGCAGCCACTAAATGTAGATGACAAATTTCCATTTGACTTGTTTTTTTCTCTCATCATATAATGCAGAATTAAATCCATTTTTAGGAGTTTTTCTCTGCCAGAAACTTAAAAAGAAAACCATGAAGCAAATAAGGGAAGTCAGTAAGACTAAAAGCTTTAATTCTGCAATTTACTAGCTACAAAAGAGAAGAAAGATAATATGTACATGTGTGTTTATCATTCTAAAGAGCATGTGTGCCTTTTTCCAAGAGTCTGTCTCTAGCCCTTGAGTGACTAATCTGATTTTTTTTTTTCCATGCTGGTTTTTTACTGCCTCCAAACTTAACTGTTTTGACACTAGAAAAATCCTCTTGTTTCTCCTTTAAAGGTAAATATATATATACACATTTATGCTAGAAATCAAAAGAAAGCTCTACCTCACTCATGTCTGGTCTTCACTATTAATCCCAGCTGATGGTAGGGAGGGGCTCTTCTGGGAGGCAGCCATGTGGTGAACATTGAGCACAGTGTTTTCCCCTGCTTCTCTCCTTTTCAGAGAAGCAAAATTGTTCTATGCTGCCGGAGATGTGAACTCCTTCCTGCGCTGCCTCTGTCTTCTCTTTACCAGAAACTCAAAGGCCTGAATTACCAGCTGCAGAGATCTAAAAGCTCTCTCTGAATCTGGGTGGAATATGGACAAGGAGATGAATAGCAGAAAGGAAGAAAGAGTGAAGTTGGTTATTTTTCTGGCACATGGATGCAATTACACTCAGTGCATTCCAGAGGCGTTCCTTTGAATCCTGTGCAGGTCTGCTTGCTGTTCCTGAGAGAAAGGAAGAAAAAGGGAAGAAAAGTCCCTCTTGCTTGAAGACGGAATGTCTGCACTTCCAATTCTCTTTTTAGGTAGGTTGGCATTTTGGTTTTGTTTAGTGTTTAAACTTCCATGCACCCTCTCTGTGTGACTGAAATACATTTCTCATGTACTAGAGAAAAGGGTTTGTAAAGAGAAAACTTTTATGGGTAACTCCGATTTCAGTGGTGTTCGGGTTCCGATGTTTTCCTTGTTGCTTTATTAGCAGGTCGATTGCCAGGAGTCTCTTAATATTTCATTTGTGGTGGTTAAACAGACTTATTCTGGAATGTGTTTCTTGTCTAAAGAGTGCAGTGCTTTTAAGCAATGAACTAGTGAGGGGCTTGAACCTCTCTGGCAAAACGAGGTGAACAGAATGTCTTTGTTTCGGGCATAGTGTCAAATGTGTTTAACTTCGTGTTGTGGTTTGCTTGGGCATTTAACATGCAGATTTTAAAAGAAAAAGGGTTATTGTTTCCAATTGATGCCTAAGATTGGAAACAGATGTGTTGAAGTGCAAGAGGGAGGAGTTGGGGGGGCAAAAGGATGGGAGTAGGGAGATAAAGAGGGAGAGGAACAAATGGGAACAACGGGGACTGCTGAAAGAAGGGAAAGAAAAGAGGTAGAGGCTGACTGTTGAACAGGAGAGGAGCAGAGAATGGGAATGGAGGCACTAAAGGAGAGTAAAGGGTTGAAGAGAGCTGTTTGTTAAAGCTATTGCTTATGGAGAAAAGAGTTTGCAGCCCTGAGGTCTTTGAGGGGGTTTGCCTACAACACTGACTCAGAAGCAGCCAGAGTTTCTGCATCTCCAGAGGCACTGTAATGTGATGAGTGAGCTTCTGTCTCCATTCTGCTCACCAGATCATGCTGACAGCTTTGAAATCCTTTGTGGTTGGGTAGAGGCTGTGGTTCCTGGCTCTTCCTGTGCCCCAGGAACACTGGTACATGTGTGAAAAAGTGGGTTGGTCTTTGATTCCCTGGGAAGACTTGAGCCCCACAGGGCAGTGGACTGATGTAGTGGCTGGGCACTGATAGAATAGGGTTTTTGACTTGTTCCTTAAGTCTCAGAGGTGTGGAATATGGACTAGCCAGATGCCTAGTTATCTGAAAGACAGGCAGCACTTAGAGCTGCTGAATAAATTGTAAAAAGGGTTTTTGCTCTAGGAATGCTGTTAGCAAAAGTTTTATCTCTAGAATGTGACAGGGGGCTTGGATGTGCTATAGAATCCTGCAGGGGAGTGCAGGCAGCAGTTTCTCCCCCTGCTCATCTCCTTTGGCCATTTGTGCTTCTATGGAGGAGACTGTTTAAGACTCCAGGAGATGAGATGGCAAGGTTAAGAACAGCTAGGCTTCTGCCAGAGGGGTCTAGGCTGGGTTAGCCCTGCAGAAAGGGCCAGGAAAGCAGCTCTATGGAAGAGTAGCTTACCCCATTGCAGTTCTTATTTCCATCAGTCTTTGATCCACCAACCCTATTCATCTGCTGAATATTCCCATATGTTGAAGGCTTAGAGCAAAAGGAATAAGCTGTTGCCAGAGAAAAGGTGGTTTTGGCAGCAGTGTAATGACAACTTACCTTTGCATGACTAGGGCAGCTTTCATTTATAAAACACAATGGGCTTTATAATCGTTATGCCTTTGGCATCTAGGCAACTTGTTCTGCTCTGCATCCAGCTTCATTCACCAATATTAGAAGCATGTTCCAGGGAAAAGCTAGGAAGTATTGCGGTTCCCTTGTAAAAACAAGGAGGCTGGGAAGTCTTGTTTGCTAGCTAGAGAAAGTCTAATTGCTTTTCTGCAGTGAAAAGGTATAGAAGTGCCAATGATGGCTTGTTTTTCTTGCTGATAAAATGAAAGACTAGTGCAGAAAAAGGGGGTTTAGAGAAGACAAACAAACTTGAAAGGAAGGTTGCCTGGTCTGGGTTTTCATTATTAAACATACTAATGGCATTCCTAATATACACAGTCCTTGTCTTTTACTGTTTACTGCTCTGGGGCAAGTGAGCAGCTGTATGAGAAGACAGGAAACAGGAGCCAATTAGTTTTAAGGAGACTTTTAAAACAAGACAAGATGAAAGACTTTCCTAAGTGTGGGCAAAAGCATGATCATGCTTACTTCCCTAGTAAAAGGTAGGTAAATTAAGTGGGAAGGAGTGAGGAGTGGAAGGTGACGTGTGTGCCTACATGTAACTGTTTGACATCTGATTCTCATCTCTGCCTACAGCTGGTCAAAACTGTTCAAAACTTGTGTAGCACACTGCACTCCTAAACACAATGAAAATTTCCAAGAGAAGTAGCTGATTCTTTAGTGTAAAAACTCAATAATAAAATGTTGCATTTCTCAGGCAAAGAAAAAAACCAAAACAACCCAACAAACTAGCAAATTATTTCACTTAAATGTTTGACTGAATTGCTTAAAGTTTTCAGGTGATAGAATTCTCCTTTGGTGCCTTTCTCTCTTCCTCCTCTCCCCCAAGTTAATTTTGAATGGTTTTTAGCCTTCCATTAAAGTAAAAAACTGATTTTCTTGTAATGAAGTATGTTCACCTGTGCAGTGCTGGTTTGGACATTGGTATTACATGCTGCTGCTTCACTTACTGGCTAATGTATGTGCTCTGCCCTTCAGAAATGAGTGGCTTCAAGATCCAAAGCAATAATGTGAGAGGCCAAATCGGCCACCCAGCTCTCTGGTGTCTTGCTATTAGCAGCGAACTATTAGTTAGTGTGAGGGGTTCCTCAGCGCAATGCACATTGAAAATGACTTATGGTTGTCTGACAAAGATGTAACCAGTATGTGATACTGGGGTGATGCTGCTGGAGTGGGTGCAGCTGTAACAGCAGAAGTACCTTTGTGCCGATGTAGCTGAGCTCTGCCCTTTAAGCTCAGAGGTTAATGACTCTCTTACAGCACTGTCCCAGGGGCATGCAGTTGCTGCATTGAACACCAAGACTCCAATTGTCTCATTGCACTGGGGAAAAGGTTATGGTGCAGATCCTTCCCGAGTCTGTTGGCATGAGCAATCGGGTCTGACAGCGTGTGTTTGCCTAGGTATCCACCAGCCTTCTAGCTTGAATATCTGTGATGCTATGGAAGCGGCTCTGCAGCCTGCAGCAGTGGTAGGTCAGCCTGGGGCTGTGCTCTAGCATAGTTACTCTGGCCTTCTCTCCTGCTCTAAGAGCACAGGCAACCTGCAGTGTGCCTTCTCTCATCTCCTCGAGATCCTTCTCCTTAAACCCTTGCAATGCTACTCTCCAAAGCCAACAACCTCTGCAGTGTTTTGCTTTAAAAAAGCACTTCTGCTCTCAGTGAGGTTACTGAGAAGTTTTACACTTCAATGGAATGCATCTGCCTGGAACTAGTAAAAAGCAAGGGGACTCTTTAAGCAACCTATAAACTAAGCTGACGGATTTCCTATTTCTGCTGATTTTCCAGGTATTTCCCAGATTTCTCAGCAATAACAGTATATAACACTTCCTATTTCCTAGTTTTCTCATGGTTCCTTCTCTATTGCCATTGCTTGTTTGTTTCATGGTATACTTAAAAAGCTTGGTGGAGCACGGGGTTTTGCCCCATGTGTCTACAGCACTTAAAAAGCCATAGTTCAGGAGTGGAGTATAAAAAGAATAATCTGCCTTTGGAAAGGGGGTTTATGTGTGGTTTTGGTGAGGATTTCACCTTCTTTTTGTGCCTGAGGGTTCTGAAGGGATGTAGGTAACTTCTTGGTGTACTGAGGTTAAAAGACTATTCTCCCAAGGACAGCTTCATAAAATTGATAACTGGCAACTCATAAATACTCCAGAAGCAGACAACAAAATAAGCTGTATGCAAGATTGAGCCTCTTTCAGTAGTGTGTGCTTAGTTCTAGGACAGGGCAAACAGCTCTTGAATAGAACACTACTGTAGGAATACTGAAGGCAAGGGAGCAAAGCAAAGCAGTGTATCCATTTGGCACTCCGGGGGGGAGTTCAAAGGAGCTAGACATAATTGAGTTGCTATCTGGCAGGATATTAGGGGTAACACTCCTTGTGAGACACTAAAATTCTTCTAAAGCCAGGGATGGTTTGCATCAAATAGTTTCCGTCAAGAGGCTTGATGAGAAATAGCCTATTTTTCTCCAGCAGTGCTGCTTTATATGCAATAGTTTGGATTTTTAGCATTAAAAAAAACCCCACGTTTATTTAGGGAGTTATTTTTATCCTTTGTTTTTTCCATTTTACCATGAGGAAGAAAAGAAATAAAAAGGTGATGTTCCAGAGTGAGAAAAAGCAGGATGCCAAAGAGCTACAATTTTGATGAAAAATTCATTTTATGGGAAATAGAGCTGGGGGGAAGGCAACTCTTCTGAACTTCCCATGGAAAACAAGTGGTGTTTTGCCTTTGTGGCCACCCTGGACCTTGTCTCCTGTGTGTAGAATTAGTGGTCTGTTTCTGTGGGGTACTTTGGCCCACTTCAGAAGGACATTTTGTGTAAGAGCAGCACAAGCTTCCCAGAAACGTAATTGCACAACTGGCTTGAAGGTATCCTGATCTTTATCCTCAGGATCACAACAAACACCCCTGTTTTCCTTAAGGCAAATACAAGGCTTTATGGAGAACTTAGCAGGTTTGCAGGCTGGGATTTGAGCTTTCAGGAACTGCCTGGGAAGAAATGTAAACAGTCACACTGACAAAGCCTTGTGTGTGTAAATGTGCTTTCTATGCCATAATGAAACCAAGGCAGTCATTGCTTGTGTATCTAACCCAGAGAAAGCTCTGCTCGTGTGCACCCAATACCATGCACATCTTGTGTTACCGAAAAGGCTACTTTGGGTGCAGTGGGAACTTGGTGGTGCCCTGTCCAAAAGAAGAATGGGTCTTTTTTTCCCTCCCCTTTCCCCAAAGCTGTTTCTTCATCTGTTTTTAGAAGTGGTTAGTTTACAGAAGCAGCCCAGCAAAAAGCCAAGGGTGAAGTCGGGTCACTGAGGTCTGTGAATAGATACTCAAATGACAGGATAGTGGAGGATGCAGGAAGCACAACAATGGAAAATGTGTGAAGTGATGGAAAGTCAACAAGTG